GTGAAACATGGAGGGATGCCATTATGATCGATTCTCTTTCTGTTGATGTATAGCATTAGATCAGGAGCGGAGTTATAGATATACTCCCCGAGTAAAAGTTGGTATTTTGAGGCGCAATTTTAACACGTGTATGCTAAGAATATGTGGAGAAAACTTTTTACCGGTCTTCGACTTCTCACTAACTACGAAGAGTTAGGCCCTGAAACTTGGAGGTCATATCAGGTAAAGCATAAGTACATACCTCCCTGAGCCGCAAGATGGTACTCGTTGTGGTGGCTGTGCACGAGTCGAAGAACCGAATATGCTAAGAATATGTGGAGGGGTGTATATGTAGGATCCTGGTATACATGGAAAGGTGTGTATATGAGGCTTCACATTTCGCGAGTGGGTTTGTTTGGTTCCCACTAGAAAAGAACTTGTTCGTAGTGGAATCTCTTAACAGTATGTTGAAAGTTTGCCGGTAGTGGGACTGTGAGCTGGCGGGTTAGAAAGTTCGGGGACCGCCTTTCTCGAGGAGTTGCTGTTTGTAGATTGTCGAGTATCGAACCTCGATACTTAATTCGTCTACTTCGTAAACTGCAATTATATGATATGATCAAATAAATCCAAGCACAGGAATGAATACGACGATTTTCATCCTACGCAAGCACCGAACCTAAAATCTTAAACTTAGCAGTGTGGGGCCTTATTCAGCGAGCCAACAGACTCTGTTGGCTGCAGCTCTGCTGAACAGAGGTTCAGACGTTATCGATTCCTCCAAATCATGTACTTGCCGATAGAAGTAGCTCGCAAAAGATCACAGATGTTGCAAAAAGCGTTCCATGTGCGACCATGTGTCAGGCACCCCATCGACCTCAGCAGGCTGATACTAGCTGTTTCGCTTACGTTGGCCCAAGACATCATGATTCAAAGTGAAGTTGCAAAAAGCACACGAGCTGGAATATTACACCCATCCTTAATAATGGTGAAGTAGCCAAAACGTAATCCAGAATATGTACTAGGTCAATCTGATTGTCAAGTTAGCACTGCTAACTACCTTTAGCTGATAGTAGGCACTAGATCCCAGAAGCAAGTTCGAACGACACGGAACAAGTATAAACTTTCCGCCTTCAACCAGTAACCAACTCCTACCAGACACACACTTACTCGAAGGTGCATGACTTTGAAAACTCCAGAAACGAGACAACTGCTCATCCCAACATCAGCGTCACCTCATGCGTTGTTTCCTCTCTATGATTGACTGAGCTTCAAAAACACAAAACCAAGGCAAGTCCCAAGCGGCTACTCGAGAAGCCTCTAGTAGAAACCTCCACATCTAGCTACGGGGCATCGCGATAAGCAGACCACGAAAACACCATAGCTGATCGCGAATGGTTAGATGCTTAGTTCATCCTCTTGATGAGATTGTTCATGAACTGCTCACGATTGCCCCAGTCACCGCCGCGGAGCTCGTTGAAGCCGTGACGCTTGCGGATGAAGCCACCCTTAGGGGAAGAGAGCTTGAAGGGCCAGAGGAAGTTGTTGGCCTCCTTGAAGTGAGGTCCAACAGTGTAGATCTCGTGGATGAGATCCTCCATACCTGAGAGTGAAGTCAATGAAGAAACACTACACATGCAGCTAATACGATGGACAGTTATTCTATTCACAGCTAGATCTGTACGAGGATCATGAAGCCCACAGTACCAGAGGGTAAAGGGGTGATTACTCCACGGTCAATTTACGCGCATCCGATTAGAGTTATTCCCGAATGTTAACGAGAGACTCTTGCCCAGAGAGATACGCAGTACACAAATACGAGGATCATGAAGCCCACAGTACCAGAGGGTAAAGGGGTGATTACTCCACGGTCAATTTACGCGCATCCGATTAGAGTTATTCCCGAATGTTAACGAGAGACTCTTGCCCAGAGAGATACGCAATACACAAATACGAGGATCATGAAGCCCACAGTACCAGAGGGTAAAGGGGTGATTACTCCACGGTCAATTTACGCGCATCCGATTAGAGTTATTCCCGAATGTTAACGAGAGACTCTTGCCCAGAGAGATACGCAATACACAAATACGAGGATCATGAAGCCCACAGTACCAGAGGGTAAAGGGGTGATTACTCCACGGTCAATTTACGCGCATCCGATTAGAGCTATTCCCGAATGTTAACGAGAGACTCTTGCCCAGAGAGATACGCAATACACAAATACGAGGATCATGAAACCCACAGTACCAGAGGGTAAAGGGGTGATTACTCCACGGTCAATTTACGCGCATCCGATTAGAGTTGTTCCTTATAAGTCGGAGGAGACTCTTGCCCAGAGAGATACGCGAATATACAACTATGAGCAATCCCTCTTACCGTGGATGCCGAACTGGCCGAGCTTCTCATCGATGAGCTTGTTGTCATTCAAAGGGATGCGAGACTTGTTGATCTTGCCATAACCTCTCTTGTAGATGAGCTCACGGACAGTGGAAACACTGGGGTAACCGAAGGCAACATAGGGAGCAACGGTACGGAGCATCTGAGAAAAACCGAATATAGCGTGCTTGCACTGTACGAGCACAGTGATCAGGTATGGACATGAATCCATTGGCATCGTACTCAAGTGGGACATGTCCACACGGTGATGTACGGAAAGACCTCATCCTCTAAGGGAATCATTGACCATTGGCTATCACCAGCCCGGTTCGCCACTTTCGTGGTTACCAGACGGCTGGGAGTCACCAAATACCTGATGTGCTCATTGGGAGCTCAGGTTTGTACCTGCATCATAGGTCCGTTGACCTTGACGAAAACGCCGTTGTTCAACTGGCGAAGACGCAAGAGTTGCAGAATCTTGCGGGGCTTGGGAGCGAGCTTGTTGATACCGGCAAGACGGACAACGAAAACCTACAAAGGGATACGCTAAAACCCGCAGAGAGAAGAGTTTCCCGTCTTACAAGTTTCTCCTCGGGCTCAACGAAGTAGTTGCCGAACTTCTTAGCTTCACGGCGGAGGCCAATGAGGCGACGCTCCTCAGACTTGTACTCCTTCTGGTACTTCAAAGCGCGGAGCTTCAAAGCGTTCCTGGAGGCACGGTTGGTCTTCTTGTTAGCAGCAATGGCGGCAAGCTTTTGCTCCTTGAGCTCAGCCTGGGCCTGGAACTTCTTGGCACTGCGCTCGGGGACGCGGGTGCTCTCAGCAGGGAGGTTGGAAGCAAGAAGGTATCGGTCAGCCATCTCTTGGGAGTAGGGATACAATTTATCCTTCGGGGTCAACGACATGCTCTAATCGATCACGCTAAGGAAGAACAAGAACGCAAGAAAGAGCAAGTGAAAAAAGACCAATGAATACACCGCGCGCCCAAAAATACCTGTGATTTGTGGACTGGGCGCGGGAGCGGTATGTATATCTGCAGGGCTTTTAGTGAAATGGGATAACTTTAGTCTCGATGAATATAACAATAAATCGGTCAGTCACCTACCTCAAAAGAAATCTTTAGCATGGATTCAATCTGGTCACATCAGTCGATAGGTCCTAGGCGTTTCTGAAAGGCTAATCTCATAGTGAAGCCTTGAGAGAGTACAATCGTAGTCTCGACAATAACGAAGTATGAGTGTGATGTAACTATCGATCCTCCCTCTCTCGGTATGTGCTTGGGCTCTTAGAACTACTCATAGGTACTAACCCAACAAATAAGGTGACGGACACTATTATCAAAATAAGTTTGAACAGATAGAGGCAGAAAGCGGATTGTCACCTGGCGAATCACGCATGAAGTCAGCACCTCGAAACCTTGAGGTGTGGGAGATTTGAACGATCTCCCCTGATTAGAGTCAACCATAAATCATGATAAACTAACCTGAAATTGCCTCCAAAGTTCGGGAAAGATCTTGAAGCCGCTATCTTCATCATAGAGGCTAATGTCAGAGCTGTGAATCCGATACGTGGCGGGAAGAACAGGATTCTCCGAGCCATAGAAATAATCACTGCTGAAGACCTGTAAAGTCATGTACGACTCCGTAAATCTAATCTCGAAGGGTTGCATCCCGGTAGACCCATCCGAACACCATGTAGGATAAGATAGTGTTTCTACTGTAGGAGGTTCCACTCCATCCACGCCAGATAATGGAGCGCAGGTACCATCACGAGTGAATGTCCCAATATAACCTTCAGCCAAGACCACATAGATGTTGGTCACGAAGTATCTCAATTGGAGCGCAGAGAACACCATCCCTACCTCAGATTCGAGAACAGGGTCGGCACCATGCTGCCAATAACTTGCGGTGCGTGTGATATGCGTACAAATACTCAATCATTGAGCCATGGCCAATATATATAAACTTGTCGTTGTGAATCACAACCACAAGTAACGAAAGTAATCACAACGTGTAATTACCATCGCCTTCGCAACCGTATCCTATTACAAACTAAACCTTCATTTTCACAATGCAGTAAAGCTTCCCATGTCGTAAACCGCCGCCATCAATGTGCTGCATCTGTCCCTACAATCACGTGTTTCTGAAGAATAGTCGCATGACTCGAAAGCACAGTAGGTGGATAGTCACTGTGAGTCGTATTGCAGCGGACGTCAAATGGATACGCAGATCGTTTGAAGCCAAAAGCAGCCGGAGTACACGTTATTCTATACCCTTTTCGCTGATCGCGATTCTGCAAAATGGTCGGAAAGAAACCTCTCATTAAATGAGATGCACTGACTCACATGTACTAACTCAATTGGTAGAATGTTCGAAATTGGACTTTACGCACCCATCCACTGCTCAAGGTCCTCTTCCAAGTGCCGCTACCGTCAGACATCTCACACCTCGAAACGCGAGATACTCGAAACGGGATGGCATATCTGCCCCAGGTAGAGAAACTGAGTGTACCACGGCATATCTCGGAGTGGCATACCTGCCCCAGGTAGAGAAACTGAGTGTACTACGGCATATCTCGGAGTGGCATACCTGCCCTAGGTAGAGAAACTGAGTGTACTACGGCATGTCTCGGAGTGGCATACCTGCCCCAGGTAGAGAAACTGGGTGTACTACGGCATATCTCGGAGTGGCATACCTGCCCTAGGTAGAGAAACTGAGTGTACTACGGCATATCTCGGAGTGGCATGCCTGCCCTAGGTAGAGAAACTGAGTGTACCACGGCATATCTCGGAGTGGCATACCTGCCCCAGGTAGAGAAACTGAGTGTACTACGGCATATCTCGGAGTGGCATACCTGCCCTAGGTAGAGAAACTGAGTGTACTACGGCATGTCTCGGAGTGACATATCTGCCCTAAGTAGAGAAACTGAGTGTACTACGGCATATCTCGGAGTGGCATACCTGCCCCAGGTTGAGAAACTGAGTGTACCACGGCATATCTCGGAGTGGCATACCTGCCCCAGGTTGAGAAACTGAGTGTACTGAAGCGTCCTCAAGATTCATTCGCCAACAAAGCTTAATACTACTCCAAGCTTTAGGCACATGTACAAGCCGTTAATCGACCTCAAAAATAAATGAGGCCATAGTAAGAGGAAGGAGACCTGGCTTGCAAACAGTCACCCTGACCCATTCAGTTGATGCACTATGACTTGATTCAATGAGCTGATACGAACGAGAGGATCTCTCGTCCCACGGAAGTATGTAGGCGGATACAGGGCCTACGAGGCTGTGCCGCTTCCAACTATTAAGAAGAAGAAGGAGAGAAGAAGACGAAGACTTGATCCGGTGTAACTATAACGAAACACTTGGGCAGCACAAATCTGGTCGATAGAGGTATCTTCTAACCAAAAGCATCATAACAACTACTCAGTCACACCTCTAGGGCGAGCTCAACCAGCATAGCCGGTATTTACATTCCTCGGATAGAGCCTGTAGCAGTATAGAGTGGCCTCACCCGTCCAAGAGCCACAGATACAGCACCATATGGTGGAGAATTGCACTCCTAAACGGAGACACGAGCGACTAAGAAACAATCAGCAGCAGTCAGTTTACACACAATGAAAAGTAGCAGCAGTAGCAGTAGTAGCAGCACGGATAGTAACAGATGTTCCAGAAATGATAGAAATCACTTTGATGATACATTACCAATACTGGAAACGATAGTAGCATTAAAATAGTCCTTCACCTCGTCTATGCGTGCAAGCCAGATTAGCACGAGCAGTAAGAGCAGCAGTAACGAGTAGCATCTACCATTATGAGAGGATACATCATCTCCAACAACCATCGCAGCAGTAGCCGATTCTATCTAAGAGCCGACAAGCAGGGGCTCTTCGAGCTTCGGAGCTCTGGGAGTTCCAGAGAAGCCGCAGTACTGGTACTATACAAACGGTTTCTTTCTCTAGCATAATGCT